CCCCCCCCCCCCAGTGATCAGACTGAAACACTGTAACTTTGTATCCAGTCACAAGGTGAGAGGCTGCAGCAGGGGCTGACTTGTTTCAGACATTCGTCATCTCTGAGCCTCTAGCTCACCTCAGAAAGTAGATGGTGACCCGGGGTGATGCCTGATCAAAGATAGCGCCGTTCTTCTGGAGAGAAAACCAGGTGAAGGCATTATGAGGGTCAGTACCTTGATAAGGGGATTTAGTGGTTTTGACTACGGTATATCCAGGTGACCTTAGTCAAGGGACACAGTGTTGTCTCTCTCAAATAGAGAGGTGAGGAAAACAGGCAGCTATAGAAACCAAAAAGAGGGTCTAACACTTTCCCACGCCATACAGAGCTGAAAGAGTGTTGGCTTCAGATTGTGGAAAATTAGGATCGATTGCTTACCTTAATTTTCCTTCTCTGGGCTATCTTCATCTCCGTATACTCACCGGTCAGCTCCTCCCTGACCCCATAGGATCACCCCTAGCTGGCCCATAAAAAAGCGCCGTCTGAGGTCATTATGCTCCACAACCATAGGGAGGGAATGTACAGTTTGCTGACATGAGGAAAGGCCAGCAAAGGAAAATTAAGGTAAGTATTTGTAACAATTTTCCATGTTCCCGGCCTCTTCATGTCACATACTCACTGGACATAGCTAGCTCCAAGAAGAAGAAAGAAGGAACTCAACAACAGACAATTCATTACTCATGATGATACATTGAAGACATGGCTGAGGAAAGTGCTGCAGCCCCAAAAGGAAGATGATGAGGACACAACCAACCAACAGATCTCCTCCATCAAGACCTTCACGTGTCTCCCAGGAGGCCACAGCACTTCTGGTTTAATGTGCTCTTGTACTGGATGGAGGAGGAAGCCCTGCCAAGGAGCATGCCTCCTGAACCACCTGACCAACCACAATGAGATGATCCTTGAAGAAGCCGGCATCACTTTCCTTGACCCCCGGAAACCTTGACCCGCTCTTTCCTAAAAGAACTCGTCCTCCGCAGATACACCGTGATCAGAACCATTAGATCCAATGGGTTCGATTTTCTTTCTCCCTACGTTGGTGGAAAGATGGGCAGTGCCAACTGCAATCTTTACAGATCTCCTCCATCAAGACCTTCACGTGTCTCCCAGGAGGCCACAGCACTTCTGGTTTAATGTGCTCTTGTACTGGATGGAGGAGGAAGCCCTGCCAAGGAGCATGTCTCCTGAACCATCTGACCAACCACAATGAGATGATCCTTGAAGGACCTGGCATCACTCTCCTTGACCCCAGAAACCTTGACCCCCCCCCCTCTTTCCTAAAAGAACTCGTCCTCCGCAGATACACCGTGATCAGAACCATTAAATCCAATGGGTTTGATTTCTCGCCCTACGTTGGTGGAAACATGGGCAGTGCCAATTGCCAGTTCTGGTGGGTCACTTGAGATAAGTAATGCGGAGAAGACCACAGGACAACTCTGTCTCAGTACAATTGACAAAATAACCCAAAAAAGTGCCAACTCTGAAGTCTCCTGGCTGAAGATGTGACCACTAGGAACACCGCTTTGATTCACATTCTGGGTACCCACCAATGGGGAGTCTTCCTTTTCTTAGACGGCCTCACCAAAGCCATTGAACTGGATGAATTTCTATGTTTCCTCTGTTTTAGTTTTAACGAATACATTCCCAAGTCCCGCCACCTCTTGTGCCGGCTTGTCTGTGTTCTTCCCATGGCTGGTCTTCACCAACGGGAGCAGCTATAGAAAACTATTGGTAGTAAAATCCAACTTATGGAAAAGCCACCAAGAGCAATGCGGAAAAGCGGCAGTGTGAACGAACCCCCAAACCTGCCCCGAAAAACGCGTCTTCCTGACCTTGCAGAGTCTCGTTCCACCGCATCGGCTTCCGTCAATTATTATCTGTTTATTGGAGGCTGAAAAGCTCTGAGATGTTAATAATTATGTACTAAGTGATGACCACGCGCTGGGTGATGACCGCGTACAATCTCAAAGTCCTAGTTGAGCAAATTCACTGAGACCTGGATGAGGTGGGCCCTCGACCAGCTGGCTGCCATCGGTCCTAATAATAGTTTAACCCGTGTGGGTTTGGTGCCGGGTCACACTAGTGATGGGCTGCCATCACTTCCTCGCTGGTGACTTTTAGGCCTCATTCACAACGGAATCGTCCCGCACGTACAGCTCCGTGCTGCGTGCACGTCCGTACCGAGCAGCTCCCGGGAAGGACAGGTGCTGCGTGTGATTAGCACGGAGCCCCCGTCCTTCTCTATGGGACTACGCGGCCGTATGCCCCCCCTACGCTCACCTCAGGTCTAGGTCCGTACGGGTGCGTGTTTCCTGGGTCGGAAGCAGACAGGATCCATCCAAGTACGAGTTTGCTCACCCGCGCAGACGTGCACTTGAGGTGAGCGTGCGGCCGCCTAGTCCCATAGAGAAGGACGGGGGCTGCGTACTAATCACACGCAGGACCTGTCCTTCCCGGGAGCTGCCCGGTACGCCCGTGCACGCAGCTGTACGTGCGGGCCGATACCAGTGTGAATGAGGGATTATTCTGAGTATTTCAATCATCAAGAGAGTGATTCCTCCCTCACCTAGCCGGCAAAGGAGTGACACATGAAAGTAGGTGAGTATTTACCCAACCTATTGTTGTCACCAGGGGCGTAACCACATATCATGGGGCCCCATAGCAAAATTTTGATGGGGTCCCCCAGCAACATCCCTACTGTCAATTATATATTCTGCAATCCTTACATGGGCCGCTATGGCTATTGTTACGCCCCTGGTTGTCACCCTCTCTAGTTGTCACAATGACCACAGTGATGGGCAATCCAGTTGCCCCTGAAACAGGAAGTAAGGACAAATCTTCCAATGGTGACACCCGTTCCAGTGACAGCTGTCTATGAGAGAATTTCCTCTTGCTTCTGAGAGGTATCATCTCACTTCCTGCCCTGTCTCTGGGACAGGAAGTGAAGAGAATTCTCCACAATGGGCCTCAGAAAGCAAATTTTTTTAAAAACTTGACGCAGGTTCTAAACATTCCCTTCACTATCCCCCCCCAAAAAAGTTTTTTGGCTTTAGATACTTAACTTTAAAGCCTCATTCACACACAACGCAAGAGCAAAATTGTATATTGCGTATATGCGCGTATGTACGCACACGTATAGGCATGCACTATGTGCAATCCCAGAATGC